TTGGGAGTGCTGAAGGAAATGGTCCTTGAGCAGTTAATGAGGCAGGGTCCCCCAAAACTCAGTGGGGAGTGGGAGCTGCTGCTGGCACCAGGTGCCCACCAAAGCTGCTGAACCATCCCCTCAGCTGGGAGAAAACAAACACAAGGGCAGGGAGAGATCACTCAGCAGGTGCCTCATGGGCAAAACAGAATCATCAGAACCACTTAATATAATGGCTGCCAGATGAAGAAGGTGAAAGAACTACAATGCCTTTGTAAGTAACATTATTTACTATGGTCAGACAAGCATTTTATTCAACTTTATTATGACAGGGTTTTTTTTGGAACAATTGACTAACCCTCACCTTTGAAGGTTGAGTAAATTCCTTTTTATTGTCTATATATTTATTTTGACATCAGAATAGGTTCTGTTATACAAATGTTCTCAAGGCAGATGTGATATTTAAGTGCATAAATAGGTAAGGACAACACTGGAAAAGGAGGGAACAGGGCAGAAGCTCCTGCAGTGAGTCAATTCCAGAGTAACACAAATTGAAGACGTTACAAGAAATATACCAACACAGTTTAAAGCTTCCAGCTTGGGCTGGAAGGGATTTAAAAAGCCCAGCTCATTCCACCCCCTGCCATGGGCAGGAGCACCTGCTGCTATCCCAGCTTGCTCCAAGCCTCATCCACTGTCCTTGGACACTTCCAGGGGTGGGGCAGCCACAGCTTCTCTGGGAAACCAGAGCCTCATCACCCTCACAGGGAAGAATTTCTTCCCAATATCCCATCTGTCCCTGCCCTCTGGCAGTGGAAACTCATTTCCTTCCTCTTGTCCTGTCACTCCATCCCTTGTTCCCAGTCCCTCCCCGGCTCTCCTAGAGCCCCTTTAGACACTTGGGGGCTCTGAGCTCTCCCTGGAGCTTTCTCCTCTCCAGGTGAACAGCCCCAGCTCTCCCAGCTCCCTCCATCTCCTATGGCAAAGCAAACTTTTCCATTCCTTTCCAGCTCCCAAGAGCAGTAGGAACCCAGACCCTGAGTGGAGCAGGAATAATGAAGATGTTCAACAAAGCCACGGATGCAGTCAGTAAAATGACCATCAAGATGAACGAATCGGACATGGTGAGTGTGGGGCACCTCTGGGCATCCCTGTCCTCACTCAGAGCTGTGTGCCCTTCCCAGCTCCAGCTCTGGGTGCAGGGAAAGCCCCCCCTGTGGGAATCAGCCCTGCATTTGCCCATTGCAGTGGTTTGAGGAGAAGCTGCAGGAGGTGGAGTGCGAGGACCAGCGGCTGCGGAAGCTGCACGCGGTGGTGGAGACGCTGGTGAACCACCGCAAAGGTGACACGGGGACACACCTGGGCTGGGCCTGGAGAGGGTCACCATTGTCCCACGGACACTCCCAAGGAGCTGGGACAGTGCTGTAAAGGACTCTCTGTCCCTTCCTCCTGGGAGACCAGAAATGGTCACCCCAGTTCTTGTGTGCAGCTGTACAAGCTCGGGATGGCAGCATGGAAGGGAACCGGGGTCCTGTGGGATCACAGAATCCCAGGGTGGCTTGGGGGCTAAAGGAACCTTAAAGTCCATCTTGTTCCACCCCCTGCCATGGGCAGGGACACCTTCCACTGTCCCAGGTTGCTGCAAGCCCTGTCCAGCCTGGCCTTGGGCACTGCCAGGGATGGGGCAGCCGCAGCTGCTCTGGGCACCCTGTGCCAGGGCCTCAGTTCCCTTGCAGGGAAGAATTTTTCCCCAGTATCCCATCCATCCCTGCCCTCTGGCAGTGGGAGCCATTCCCTGTGTCCTGTCCCTCCATCCCTTGTCCCCAGTCCCTCTCCAGCTCTCCTGGAGCCCCTTCAGGCCCTGCCAGGGGCTCTGAGCTCTCCCTGGAGCCTTCTCCTCTGCAGGCTGATCAACCCTAACTCCCTCAGCCTGTCCTCACGGGCCTGAATGCTGCTGCAGCAAACCTGAGCAGAGCTGACCTCTGGGAGTGGGGATGTTTCCCTTCCTCTGCATTTTTCACTGACTTCTGCAAAGCTGTGCCTGTCCTTGGGCTCAGCTGCTTCCCTTTTCCTTCCCTTTCCTGCTTCCCTTTTCCTCATGGCTGGGAGCTGCTGGCCCTCCCTGCTGGTATCTCCTGGAGCTGTGGGGATGCAGCTCCAAGGGCTGAACCTTCTGCTGGGGAGCTCCTGGTGCAGCCAGGCCCTTCTCCTGACCCCCATCCCGTTCCCCAGAGCTGGCGTTGAACACAGCCCAGTTTGCCAAGAGCCTGGCCATGCTGGGGAGCTCAGAGGACAACACAGCCCTGTCCAGGGCCCTGTCCCAGCTGGCTGAGGTGGAGGAGAAGATCGAGCAGCTGCACCATGAACAGGCTAACAATGATTTCTTCCTTCTGGCCGAGCTCCTGGGGGATTACATCCGCCTGCTCTCGGTTGTGAAGGTGAGGATTCCTTTGCTCCTGCTCTTTGTGCCCATTGTAGGCTCAGGGATGCCAGGAGGTGTTCCAAACTCAAGCACAGGGCAGAGCAGAGGGTGTGCAGGGCATGGCCTCCTCAGGCAGAGGGAAGCCTTGCTGGTTGGGCAGGAGTGCCCTGGGTGGGTTGGAAGATGGTTGTGGGTCAGGCCTGGCTGTGCTGCTCTTCTCCAGAGGGGATGTGGAGCGAGCTCAGGGCTTGTGGGTGACCCCAGCCCTTCCAGAGGTGAAGGCTGAAGCTGTGAGCTGCTAACCTGTGATACAGGGGGTGAAAACTGACCTGCCAAGTGCCTGCTGTGGCCAGGCCTGAGTGCTCCTGAACCTGGGCATCAAATCCACACAGCCCAGCTGGTGCACTGGGAAGAGCAATCCCATGGGAGGAGCAAGTCCAGCAGGCTGACCCCTTCCTGCCCCAAAGGCCAGACCACCATATCCTGGGCCCACTGCTCCATACAGGAGCTGTAGATGCTCCAGGGCAGGACCCAATCTGTGTTGTGGCTCAGCTTTGGTCCAGGAGCTCCAGTGTCCCCTTGTCAGGAGAGCTGTGCCCCTCCTTCCCCCCAGGGAGCCTTTGACCAGCGCATGAGGACCTGGCAGCGGTGGCAGGATGCCCAGACCATGCTCCAGAAGAAGAGGGAGATGGAGGCCAGGCTGCTGTGGGCAAACAAACCCGACAAGCTGCAGCAGGCCAAGGATGAGATCTCGGAGGTAGGGAACTGCTGGTTCGGTGCGGTCTGCTCTGCTCCTGCCCTCCCTGCTGCAGTGGGGAAGGATCTCCTGGGCTGGGGAAGGATCTCCTGGGCTGGGGGGCCCCTCCTGAGCAGGAGGGAGAGGTGTTTGTGGCCAGGTTACACCAAGGACCAAGCCCGCCTTGAGTGAGGCTGCTGGTGCCTCCTGTGACCTCCACGCCAAGGCGGTGCCAAGGGCTGAGCTCTGCTCCAGCAGCCCCTCTCACAGGCACAGTGGTGGCTCCAAACCCCCATGGAGAGGGGGCAGGGGCTCCTTTTCCCGTGCCCACGGTGCCCTTGCTGTCCCTGCAGTGGGAGTCGCGGGTGACGCAGTACGAGCGGGACTTTGAGCGCATTTCTGCCGTCATCCGCAAGGAGGTGATCCGCTTCGAGGTACGTGGGGCAGCCCCTGGCACTGACCCGGGCTCCTGCCCCTCCTCCTGCCACAGCAGCATCCCTGAATCCCAGCATGTGTGAGCTGGGCTGTTGCTGAGGGGGCTTCCCCACAGGGAACCTTAAAATGGAGCTGGGTGGGCCAAGATCCTCTGTGTCCCTCCCATGTGCTGCTCTCCTCACGGGCCCCAGGAGGAACAGCAAAATCCTGCTGGCTTCTCCTTCCCCCTCCCACACTCTGGAGGGTTTTGGTGGCTGCTCCAGCCTCATGGCCATCTCTTGCAGAAAGAGAAATCTAAGGACTTCAGAAATCATGTCACGAAATACCTTGAGACGTTGTTGAACTCTCAGCAGCAGGTGAGTGCTCCCTGATGTGGGTTTATGTCCAAGTTCAGGCCGTGCTTGTGAATCTCTCAAGCATGACCCATCCTCAAGGCTCCTGACTCTCTCCCTCTCCTCCCTGCAGCTGGTGAAGTACTGGGAAGCGTTCCTGCCCGAAGCCAAGGCCATTTCTTAATTGGACTGAGCAAACAAACCTGAATTTTGCCTTTTTTTTTTTTTTTTTATATACACTATACCTCCTCCTCTTTTCCACGTGAGCGACCCCTCGTTCCACATGCTGGAGCTGGTAGAGGTGTCACCCCCAGAAGAACAGCTTGTGAGCCAGTAACTCTTCTAACTGTATATTTTTCATTTAGCAACATATATTTTCTTACTGAAGAGAAACTAGTTTCCTGCTTCCAGACCAGACCCGCAGCCAGGGGGTTAATGAGATCTGGCAAATATCTATTTTTCAGGCTGGGTTTTAAGGCTCTAATGAATTATCTTACTCCTGCAGTGCCATTAAAGTTCTGTAATAAAACTTCTATCAGGGCAAACAGGCTCTGGGTGTTCGGGGTGGGATGGGGAGGGGTAAGGGTGCATCCCTGGAGGCAGCAGAGCCTCCCCCGTGTTGTGACGGGACAGAGGTGACCTTGGACTGCTCTGGCCACCTGTCCCCGCTCTTGATTAGGCTTTGGCTCTCTGCCTTTCCTCCGGTGGGAGCCGTTTTTAGGATCTGAGCTCAGCGGGGCTCTGTGGCGATCCCACTCTGTGGCATTCCCCAGGAATCAATCCACGCTGGAGCTCTCAGGGCTGCGGTGCTCCTGCCCCCCTCCCTTACCCGGGATCGCTCCTTCCCCCCTCCCGGCCTCGCGTGTGCGCTTTATCAAAACCGATACCCGCTCAAAAAGCGAAAAGGCAGCTCGGGCTGACTTCCCTCTTTCCTTTCCCCTTATCCCTGGAGCCGGCTCCCTGCGGCTCCCTCAGTGAGCGCTCCGGGCCCGCCGCATCCCCCCGGGCTGCCCGGGGCCCTGACCCGCGGGGGCGCTCGGGGCGGTCCCTGCCCGGCCCCGGCCCCGCTCCGGGCCGTGATCGCCGTGTCCCGGCCATGATCGCCGTGTCCATCCCCGCGGCGGAGCCCCCGGCGGCGGCAGCGCGCAGCCCCGAGCGGGCGCACACGGTGAGGGACGGGACGGGGCGAGCGGGGCTCGGCTGTGCCCTCAGGGAACGGGGCTGAGGGCGGGCGAGGGTGGCTCCTCCTGCCCCGGGAGCTGGGGGTCGCCGCTTGTCCCCAAGGTGTCCTCTCGGAGTGCGAGTCCCTCCCTGCCTTCCCCCGGGGCTCCCTTCTCTGGGGGGTGCCTCCCTGGTACTGGAGGTTCCCAAGTTCCCAGGGGTGTCACCCTCTGCTCCCGGGGGATTTGTCGATCTCTGCCCCAGGAGTCTTCCACGTGCCCTGGGAATGGAGGTCCCTGCGTGTCCCTGGGGCCTCCCTGCCGGTGGCAAACACAGAACCCTGCCTGTGAAAGGGGTGTCTGTCTCTGCTCCGGGGTTGCGGGTTCCTGCTGCCGCTGTCCCCGCTGGCTGCGGGGTTTGCAGGTTTCTGCCTCTCCCCAGGGCTCTCCGTGCCCGGCGGTGCTTCCACCCTAACCCAGGGGCTGGGGGGCTCTCCTGTCCCACCTCCCCCGTGTCCTGTTCTACCCCCGGGGTCGGGGTGTCCCTGTGGGCTTGGAGGACCCCAAACAGCCCGGGGAGGGTCCCCGGCAGCCACAGCAGATCCCTGACCCGGGGATCCCCACAGGGGCCGCTGCCGATGGGGACCTTTTGCCCTTGGAGGAGGGGATGGGGGACGTGAGCAAGGTGAGATTGTTTTGGTCTGGGGAGGGAGGGGATGGAGGCCTCTTCCCGTCCCTGCAGGGTCCCAGCCGGGGGAGTACAGACCCTTTCAAAGGGGAGAGGTCCCTGTAGCCCCCATGGCTGGGGGTTCCCTTCCTTCCCTGGCATGCCCCCCCTGCTCTGGCACTGGAGGTCCCCTCGTTCCCCCACGCCACCCTGAAATGTCCCAGCCTCAAGGGCTTCAGGTCCTCAAGTGCCCCTGGGTGGTGCCCACCATCCCCGGGGGTCTCTGCCTGTCCTGGGGCCCTGCCGGGGGCGCCTCCTGCCCTGGAAGTCAGGATTGTGTCTGTCTGTCCCACAGCTTCCCCAGGGGTGCAGGGTCCTGCCTTGTCCCCAGGGGTCCCCACATCTCAGGGGTGCCCCCAGGGGTTGGAGGCTCTTCCTGCCCACCCCGGGGTCCTGTTCTGGGGATCTTGTCTCTCCCATGGGCTCCCCACCTGCCCCCGAGGGTATCTCCATGTGAGTCAGGGACTGAGGGTCCCAGGTGTAACTGGGGAGCCCCACTTGGCCCAGGGGCTGTTCCTTTACCCTGGGGATCCCCTCTGACCAGGATGTTGGGGTCCCTGTCTGTCTCTGGGTGCCCCCCTCTGCCCTGGGTGTGGAGGGTGTGGGGCTCTTAATGTGCCACCGGGGTGTCCCCAAATCCTCCAAGTGCTTGGGGGGTTCCCAGCAGCCCTTACCTCCTCCGAGGGGTCCCAACTGTGCAGTGAGTGAGGAGGCAGGGGGAGAGAGGGGCAGATGGGATCATTGCCCTGAGGAGAGGTCCCCAGCTGTCCTCAGGGATCCCTTTCTGGGAAGGGGGACACAAAGCCCTTGAAGGGGAGGGGATGGGGTCTCTGGCGCAGGGGGTGCTGGGCAGAGGCCCCCACAGGGTTCCTGTCTGAGGCAGGCCTGAGGTGGGTCCTCTGCCCTCCTACCTTGGCCTGGGGGGTGCCTGTGAGATGGAGATGTCTGTCTGTCCTCAGGGGCCCACCCTTAACACCAGGGGCTGTCCCTGGCCTGGGGGATCCCCACTGGAGCTGGGGGCACCCCTTGGTGTGGGGGAAAGAAGGGTTCTCCTGCCTTCCCCAGGAGGGTGGAGATCCATGACTGTCCCTAGGTAGGGGACCTCACCTGCCTTGGGGATAAAAGTGTTGTCTCCCTCTGTCCCATTGGTTTGATGTCCCCACGTGTCCCTTCCTGGTGTCCCTGCACACCCCAAGGTGTTGGGGGTCCCTGTCTGGTGGGGTTTGGTGGGGTTGGGATGTCACACCTTGCTCGGGAGGGGAGAATTGTGTCCCATCTGCTTGTGGGGGTCCTGCCTGGTCCCATGGCACCCCCTTTGGCCGTGGGCGTGTTGAGGGTCTGCCCTGGAGGTTGGGGGTCTCTGCCTGTCCTGGAGAAGTGGGGGTGGAGTGTCCCAGGTGCTCTCCACAGGTGTGTGAGTCAGGGGCCCCTACCTCCTCTGGGAGGCTGGTAAGTGTGATGAGGATGATGAAGATGGTGAGGGTGATAAGGATGGTGAGAGTGCTGAGGCTGGTGAGAATGGTGAGGATGATGAGAAAGATGAAGATGGTAAGGCTGGAGCTGATGAGGATGATGAGGGATGGTCAAGGTGATGAAGATAGTGAGAACAGAGAGGATGGTGAGGATGACAAGGGATGGTGAAGGTGATGAAGACAGTGAGAACAACAAGCATGGTGAGGCTGGGCTGATGAGGATGATGAGGGGTGGTGAGGGTGATGAAGACAGTGAGAACAGTGAGCTTGATGAGGCTGGGGCTGGCGAGGAGCACGCTGTCTGTCTGTCTGTCCCCTGCAGGTGTTCCGGGTGGAGGTGCTGTGCAATGGCCGGCGGCACACGGTGACCAAGCGCTACAGCGAGTTCCAGGCGCTGCACAAGCGGGTGAGAGCCCCCAGCTCTGCAGGAGGGGACGAGGGAGGCCTGGCCTCGCCCTCTCTGGCCTACCCTGATCCCCCCACACCTTCCCCAGATCAAGAAGACCTGCAAGGTGCCCGACTTCCCCCCCCGCCATGTGCCCAACTGGATGCCCAAAGCGCTGGAGCAGCGCCGGCAGGCCCTGGAGGTTTACCTGCAGGTGAGGGTGTATGGCAGGGCCAGGCTGGGTTTAGGGGTGAGGAACACACGGTGCTGGGTTTGGGAAGGGTTTATTGGGGTGCTGACCCTCTGGGGCATTGCAGGGTGTGCTGTACCACAACAAGGAGCTGCCCCAGGACATCCTGGACTTCCTGAAGGTGCGGCGGTGCCAGCAGAGCCCCAAGGGCAGCAGCCCCCCGTGAGTAATGAGCTCTGCTGGCACCAGGGTTATGCCACACGGCACTGGGATTGTCCCCCTGCCCCTAATGAGTACCTGGGGTTGGGGACAGGCTGAGGACTGGTGTCCCCTCTCCCACAGCAGCACCAGACTCCTGCCCCCCCAGCGCCCCACTGTCGGCTTCTGCTCGGATCCCTACGTGCGGCCACACGGCCCCGGTAAGGAGCAGGGCAGGGGAGCAGGGCTCCAAAACCTCCAAGAAGCTCCTACAAAGGTGCTTCTCCTTCAGGGGGGCCCAGGAGGGACCCAGCTGTTACAGCACCCCTGTTTCCTCACAGAGCTGCTCCCCAACACCGTCCTCAGCGGGGTCCTGCAGGGCCTCTACCTCCCCCTGAGCCGTGTCCCGGCCTGGCAGCACCCCCAGACTCTGGAATGATCAGAGCTCCAGCCAGCAGCCGGGGATGCAGTGGGGAGAGAAAGGATCCCTGTGGTGAAACTCACCCCTGCCTGCTGGGAGAAGCCAGAGGGATGTTGGGAATGTTCTCCCACCAACATGCAAAGTGCCTCTGTTGGCAGAGCAGCAGCTCTGCCTTCCCCCCTGCTGCTGTGGGCTCGCAGAACGAGCCTTTGGATGCTGAATGGTGCTGGAAAACCTCTCTGCATCCAGGCTTTGGTGCAATAAATCTCCTGGATTTGACTGACTGGCAAAGTGCTGTGCTGTGGAATTCTCCAAAGCAAACCCAGGGCCAACTGTGGCACTGCTCCCAGCTGGATGAGATAAAAAAGGAAGGTTGGAAGGGGGGCTGGAAGGTTGAGGGGTGCATCTGGCTGAGGGATGCAGAGTGATCTGCACCCCTCTGAAGGCAGGAGAGAAGCAGCTCTTTAAAAAACACATTGGTCACATTTATTGGTGCATGTGCTTCTTACAAAAGTGATGGAAGAGCAGCCTGTGCCCTGTCCCACTGGCTGGAGGCAGCAGGGAGAGGGGCTGGCACTGGGACACAGTGGGACCCGGTGGCCCCAGGGCAGGGGAAGCACAGCAGCCCCACAGCCCCTCACAGCCTGGCAGGGCTGGTCCCTGGTCCCGTCACTCCTTGGCGATGGCAAAGGGCTTCTCCACCTCGATGGTGCCACAGTCGACGATGGTGACGTCCTTGAGGGGCTTGTCCCGGCTGTCTGTCTTTGTGCTCTCCACCTTCCTCACCACGTCCTGGTGGGGCACAGTGTGACACCCAGCTCAGCCAAGCCCTTCCCAGAGCACCGACCCCTCTCCCTGTCCCTGGCTCACCATTCCCTCCAGCACTTTGCCGAACACCACGTGCTTCCCGTCCAGCCACGGCGTCTTCACGGTGGTGATGAAGAACTGGGAGCCGTTGGTGTCCTTGCCAGCGTTGGCCATGCTCACCCAGCCCGGCCCGTAATGCTTCAGCTTGAAGTTCTCGTCAGGGAAACGGTCCCCGTAGATGCTTTTCCCTAAAGGGGGGACAAAAAGGCCACAGTGGTCTCATGGAATATGGCAGGTAGGGGTGATGGTGGTGGTAACTCCAACATGAGGTGGGTGGGGGAACGAGCAATTCCAGAGCAGGGACTAGCACTGATGCCACAGGGATGCATGAGCCATGGGCTGCTGCAGGGAGCTGGACACCCCAGGGGCTGGGCAGGGGTGTGGGGCAGGAGGCTCCCAGTTACCCCAGAACTCAGCTCTGCTCTGAGGCCATGCCTTTGTGAGCTCCATGCCCCCTTGATTCCACCAAGCTCCAGCTCTATACTGGTGCCAGCCCTGCAGTGCTTGGAATTGCAGCTGCTGTCTCACTCCAAGACAATGGCCTGGATCCACCAGGTTACCTCCAGTGCCGTCACCGCGGGTGAAGTCTCCTCCCTGGATCATGAAGTCCTTGATCACACGGTGGAACTTGCTGCCCTTGAAGCCAAATCCTTTCTGGGGGTGTGGAGGGAGAACAGGGAGTGAGGCAAAGGGACAGACCAGAGCTCCGTGGCCCCAGCGCTGCCCCAGGGCACCGAGCAGGGGCAGGGGAGGCCCAGGGTGCCGTGGTCCTCTCACCTCTCCGGTGGCCAAGGCCATGAAGTTCTCCACGGTTTTGGGCACCGTCTTGCCGAAGAGCCCGATGACGACACGGCCCACATCCTCCTCCCCAATCCGCAGGTCGAAATACACCTTGAAGGGGGGCGGAGGAAGGTTAGGGGGGATCAGGGGCGCCAGACTCACCTTGCTGGGCCAACCCACCCCCGAAAGTCCAACTCTAACTCCAACCAAGCCCAAACCCTCACTAGGGGAGGTTGGTTGGTGCCCCCCAGCCCGGGCTGCATCCCCCTCTGCAGCCTCACACTCACCCCAGCTGGAGCCCCCAGCCCAGGCCTTCAGCCCCCTCAACTTCCCCAGAGCTGGGCCGAGCTCTCCCCAGGCCGCCTCCCCCTTTCAGGCGCCCCCAATCACCCCGCACTGGGCCCTCCCTCCCTCCCTCAGGCCTCACCCCACCCTCAATCCCAGCCCCAACCAGGGCTCCTCACCCCAAGTTCTCCCTCTCCCGGTCTCCCCCGCCCCATCCGGGCTCCCACCCCCCGGAGTCTCCCCCGATCCCCCCGCCGGCCCCGCCTCGGCCCCCCCCGACCTTGGCGGTGACCTTGGGTCCCTTCTTGCGCTCGTCGGCGCGGGAGGCCGCGGGCAGCAGGAGCAGGAGGGCCGCGCCCAGCGCCGCCGCCGCCACCAGCACCTTCATCCTGCGCCGCTCGCAGCCCGGCCACAGCGCCCGCCGCGCCGCCGGCATCCGGCCACGCCCGCCGCGCACCCCCGCCCGCACCGCCTCTTGGTACCGCCCGCGCCGCTCGCCCGTCCGCTCCGCCCGCCTGGGCGCGACCAACAGGGTCCCACAGGGGGGGAAAGTAGCCCCTTCCGGCCGGGCGGAGCGCGGGCGTATGCCACGTTGCCCCTCGCTGGGCGGCCGCGGCGCTGTCAATCATGAGCGGAACGCCGCGATGATTGGTCATTGAGGGGGAGGAGGTGGGGGAGGCGGGACCGAGGGTGGCGGTGGCCAATGGGCACGGGCGGAGGGCGGGGCTGAGGAAGGCCGGGGGTGCTGTTCCGGCGTGTCCCGCTGTGCTGTCCCTGCTTTGTCCCCGCTCTGTCCTCGGGGCCCGGCGTGTCCCTGCTTTGTCCCCGCTCTGTCCTTGCGCCCGGTGCGTCCCCGGTAGCAGCAGCCGCCCCCGGCGAGCTGAATGGCTGCGGTCAATGGCTGAGCGGGCGCGCTGGGGAGATGCCACCCCAGAGCCAAAGCGCCTCTGAGAGCAGCTGGCGCTGTACCCGCCCAGAGACGCTTGAACCAAAGTGTTCCCACAGTTGGAACCTGCTCCACACTCTGATCTCTCGTGTGACATTTTTCCCCCTAATTCCCAGCCTTAAATGTATTATTTTTAGCATGAGCTTTCATTTCTTGCTCCCAAAAATTTGCCTGGGGACACGTGCGCTCTGAGAAGGAGATGAGCCTCAAAGGTTCCCTCCCTGACCCTTGGAACCCACGTCTCCACCTTTGAGATTTATCTTTGTGGGGACTGACAGTGACCCAGACCTGATGAAAACCTAATTCCCACATGTTCAACTGACTGCAGGATTTGCAATCACAGACCGGTTTGGGTTCGAAGGGACCTTTACAAGCCTGCCATGGGCAGTGACACCTTCAGTGATGGTGCTAAGCTGAACAGAGGCACCTGAGGGCTTCCAGCCCGGCATCTCCAGGTATTTAAGAGGAAATAGGGCTTCTCTCACTCCTTTCTTCATCCATCCTGCATTCCAGGATGGCTGAAGTGGGAATGTGTGTGCCCAGAGAGAAGGGAAATCAGTATCACCATGCCCTGACTGAGCTCCATAGGGCTGAACCACCCATGGCTGTAATGCATGAAGTGTTGAGAAGGTCCCGCAAGGTCCCACCCATGCATTGTCCCCTCCAAAGGGAACAGAGGGTGACACAAGCGCCCAGCAGAGCCAAAGGAAGACAAAACACAAGTGCCATGGTCAGGCTGAGGTAATAAATACTTCTATTCATGGAGAACAATGCAGCAGTGCAATGTTTTATTGAAAAAAAAAAAATCATCTCACTTGATACCTCAGAAGACTGCATCGCAACGTTGGAGGGCCGAGAGCGGCGTCAGAGGCACCTGCACCAGGAGCCCCAGGAGCCCTCCCCTGCCTGGGGCCTCCTGGCTGCCAACTGCTCCCGGCACGGAGAGGAGGGATTGCCCAGGATAATGCCCTACATCCTTCCACAGCATGGCTGGCTCAGTCTGGCTGCTCTCCTTGTCACCTCCCAGCTCCCCGGGGACAGCGGTTCCCTCAAGCACAGGACTTGCTGGTAACCTGCTTTCTTTTCTTTCCTTTTTTTTTTTTTTTATTTTATTTTATTTTATTTTTTTTGTTAAAAAGCCACCCCACATCTTTGCCCTTTTTTTTTTTTTTTTGAAGAGTCCAACGTACGATTATAGTGCAAGAGGGCTTGGTACAAGTGAGCATTACCAGCATGCCGTGGGGGGACAGTCCTCCCCTACAAACACATCATTGTAGGATTAAAAGAACACCGTTATCTCTGGAGAGAAGCTGTAGTGGGTCACCATGAAACAGCTTTCAAACCAACCCACTTAAAAACAAGGTCAGGAAAGTTTCTAAACGATCAAATACATTCACTTAAAAAAAAACAAAAAAAAAACCAAAACCAAAAAACCCCCCAAAAAACAACAAAACAAAAAGAAACCAAAAACATTTAGGAACAAAACCTGTTGAGATGGCCCCTTTCCCCCCCGCCCTCCCTCACCCTGCAAACACTTACATATGCTGCAACTACAAGCTGCTCCTTGAGTGGAGGCAGCGAGGAATGACCAAACACGGCAGGAGATGCAGAAGGAATCGAGTTCTGGTGACAGGCACTTAGTGGGGCTTGGGAGGGCAGCAACGGAAGTGTCTCAGGGCCAGCTCTGTGGGCAGCGGGCAGGGGGAGCGCCCCTGCCCCTGGACACCCTCCCAAGATGCCAAACCATGGTTTCCTACAGCAGAGAGAGGATTGCCTGTGCCACAGACGCAGCTTCTGGGAACCACTGGCAGCGGAGGAGTTTGGAGGGAGAAAGGTGGAATGTACCCGTGGCCGTGCCCTCCCTGCGGCACACCTGGCACCTGCCTGTGGGAGGTGAGTGTGCCCTTCCTGCCCTGCTCCCAGCCCAGCCCACGGCCTGGCTGGAGGAAAGCGCTTTGCTGAGGGGGAAGGAAGGAGGTGCACGTGTGAGCCGAGGGCTCTGCGCCTCTGTTGCGCTCTCTGGGGTAAGGCATGGAGAGAACGCAGCCGAGAATGGAGGAGAGATGCCCTGCTGGCATCCTGGCCAGGAGGGAGGCTTTAACACCCTGGCACCACACCAGTGTCTGCCTGACTCAGGAAT